ATTGTTTACCTCAAAAAGGAGAAAAAAACCTTGGAATAAACCTTAGACTCTGTATATTGTCAACAGTAACCAGCCTTACAATTCCAAAATATGGCTCTGCAGTTTTGCATTTCTTTCCTATTTTGTGGGGGAAAAGGCAGGGAATTAAGGAAGGCAGATTCACAAACAATTGCTCTGTCTCCAAACTGGAGCATGTTAGTTGAGCACAGGTCAGGAAAGAAGGCATGTGTCCAAGCTTCCAAGAGAGTTTGCAACTGAGTGACAACAGACAACTCGTGTCCTAACTTCTCTCTGGATGAGGGCTCCTTTCAGTTTTCCATTATGACCATTGCAGAGGCTCTCTGAAAGCCTAGGAAACTGATCTCTTCTGCACCCACTAGCAGCGTAGTCTTTCAGTCCTATTTGCACAGTACTGGCAGATAACCACAAAAGCCCAAATAACCATACACACCAAACCTTTATGATTTATCAATGCTTCAGCAGATCCCTACCTGTTCATTGTACAAACTATCTTTTTCATGTGTAGATTTTAAGTATGCTATTTATTACTTATAATAGCGCCCTAACAAGGTCAGAAACCATTTGGGGCTATCTTGTGTACTTACAGGCCTCCTCATTTTAAGCAGCCTGCTTCCCACTCCTTTTAAGAGCTTTTCTTTGCAGAAAAATCCCTTGCTATCTGAGGTGCTCATTACCAGATTGCCTGCTAGCTGCCTCCTGTACTATGTTCTTCAGGACCTTCTTTCTTGCAGGCTGAAGCTGTAAAACTTTGCAGGAAATTTCCCAGTTGCCTCCAGGCCATCTGGGCAACCAAGACCCACACAGTGGCTGTGGTGAGGTGATGGGAGGAAGACTCCTGGCCATATTCCAGCTACTCATACCCCACCTTTGCTTACACATAGCAAAGTTTCCCTTCTTGCACTGAAAGATGTTTCCTATGGATGTCACCAAGGACAGGGAGCACCTTTCTACAGTCAGCAGAACTGAGCAAGCATCAAATTGCCCACCCAGCACAGACTAGCCACTTACTGTGTTCCCTAATGCTTACTCCAAGAGACAAAGGCCTCACTGACTTCTATTTTACACTCTTAAGGAAACTTGCCACACAGCAGCTCTTTTTCAACCCTCTGCTTTGCCAGCTTCCTCAGCCCCTCTCATATGCAGCTGAACAACATCAATCTGATTTGAAACCACAGCCTGGAAACATCTGTTTGTATTCACATTTCACACACTTAATTTCCTTACCTACCCCACGCAGGTACAAGGTGGCAAGACTTCCTGCCCTCAGAAGGAGAGGAATCTTGGTGGGCCTGTTTCTATTTAGATCTAATGTCATGGCCATCTGATAATATAAACCGTAAAATAGACCCTTGACATATGTCCATTTAGAAGCAGGAGAGCCTAGCTCATGGACACACTGAGCACACTGGATTACAGCCTTCAGTTTTTATTTATAACCTCCATATATGAAGTTCAACCAGATTAGAGGACCTCCCTCCCAAAGCTCCTTCAGTCCAGCCCAAATACCCAGAGGAATAAACTTGCCAGGAAGGCAACTGGGAGATTGTAGGTCCCACTTTCCTCCCTTGTCAAAAAACGGGTAGACGTGGCACTATGGGACATGGTTTAGTTTAGTCTACCCTTAATTGTTTTAGTGTGGACTTCGTAATGTTAGGTTAATGGTTGGACTGGATGATCTTAAAGGTCTTTTCCAACCTAAATGATTCTATGGTTCTATGATTCTATGATTCTTGCCCTTTCCTGTCCATTGGCAGAGCACCATCAAACAGTACCTATTGACTCCCATGATGTCTTGGGAAGGGGCAATGCGAGGGGAGCACTCCTTGGAGGCCCCTTCCAGTTCCTTCATATTTTTGCTCACTTGAACTCAGCCCTGTCCTCTTTTTGCATCAGTTGTCCACAGAATCACTTGGTTCCTCAGGTCTTCCAGTGCTCCTAAATGCTTGTTAGGCACTGCTGTGAGACTTTTCCTTTTTTTTCTGTCTGTACTGGACAGCCCCAAGAATAATGATGAGTAGGGGAGGAAGGGCTGACTCTGCCCACTTTATGGGCAGATCACTCTGAATAGTCAGAGGAAAAATAGATTCACTGTCCTCTTGCAAGCTGTGTTGATCAGGCAAAGGGCTGCTACACAGGGATCCCACAAACAACCCTGGTCACATAATTTGCTTAATTTCATATTTCCTTTCTTCCCCCATTTTTTCTCCCCTAGGTACTCCCTCCTTAGAAGCATCATCACCTCCCAAATACACAGCCCACCTTGTTCACTTTTTCTCCATTGGTCCTAGGGTTGTTGACTTCATATTTATAGCATGACTGCCCTAGTAACTTCTCCCTTGCTAATCAGCTCTATAAAAGCAGTACCCATTTTTTCTTATCTAGTATCTCACCTTTTATGTGTGCTACCTTGCTAACGGCACTGCATATCCTGATGGATCATCTGCATACTCTACTCTCCTGTTGCATGTGTTGCATCCTGAAATTCCTCAGATTGTTATCTTTTTTTAGTAGTGCCACAGGTAAGGATTGGCCATCTGGGTTAATGTCTTAACAGGATGGAACTGGGTGTTGCCAGAGTCTAAACAAGCACAGTGACTGAGGCTGTTGAATGACCCATCCAGAAGGCCTGGGCATGGGTAGTTGAAATGGAAAAACTGAACTCAGTTTTATGGGAAGTGGTCATGTAAGACAGAGACCAAGACAGGGAGATTATGATCTTCAAAGAAAACAGGAAGGGCCTGTTACAGTCACTCTGCATTTTTTCTAAAAAGAATAGGGGGAGAAGGAAAGTGATACCACAAATCATGCCTACAGAGGCAGTAATTTCTGATTGTTTACAGAAAAAGATGAACACTGAGTAGTGGTGCATGATATAAAAGAGGATAGTAAAGAAGGTGTAGTTAGGACTGAACTTACAGTTCAATGTGGGATGCCTGGATACACAAACAAAGCAAACAAAAAAAGGGGACCATTACAATTCAGAGGAAGAGATGACAATGAAAAGGACACCAACTGCAGAAATGTACACTATACGTGAAAAATTTCTTTGCCTAAAAGGGGACACAGAAATACAAAGTAACAAATGAAGTAAGAGAAGACAAAAGCAGAATAGAAAGCAAGAGGAAGAGTAAGCAGGGATCTTGCATAGATTGGAAAGAGACATATACAGCAGACAGGAGGGTTAGGTCAACTAGGGACAGACAGATTTGCCAACCATCAAAGTGAAGAGAGAAGAAACATGGGAGTGGATAGAATGCTTGGGCAGGCAGAAAATTTTGGAAGAGGCAGGGACCTTTTCAGGAACAAAAGGCAGCAGTTTAGGCAGGCCACATGGGCAACGGGGACTGTGACTTGGGCTTACGGTGTGGGCAGTGGAGGAGCAGGGCAGTGTGAAGGGGAAGCAGAGAACCAGGAATAATTGCCCCTTGGCTGCATGTAGGGGTTGACAAGGAACACTACTGGGCAAAGGAGAGAGTGTCCCAGGAGCAGGGGGTGGGCTGGAGCCTTTGTGGGAGCGTTAGTGGGTCTTGGAGCAGGAGACACCCTGAGAGAGAGAGGATCTTGGTACAGATGATAGAGGGAAGGAGAAAATGAGGTGTGTGAGAATGGGAGGGAAGGGATGGGGGAAGTGAGGGGTGCAGGGTGATGGTGAAGGCACAGACACTAACACCAGGCAGAAGTCTTAGGGCAGCTTGGCAACCAGGGCTGTGAGAGGAGGGGATTGGCCACATTGGCAGGTGGTGGGGGAAGTAGGTTCTTACCTTGCCTCTGGGTTCCCCCACACCTACAGATCCATCCCAATGCCCCTACTCACCCAAAAGGGCCCTGTCTCCCTACCCCATCCTACATCCCCACACAGTCCAACTGACCCAAGTCCCCAGCCTTCCCCTCTCCTCCTCTCTCCTCATTTTCCCCTTCTGTAGAGGAAGCTGTAAGGACATCAATACCCATTTGCCATGTCTTCATGAAGGTGAAACTGCCATAACCTCATGGAGAGTTTACCACATGGTAACATCTGTTAATGTCTTCTGTTTGCATTAAACTTCTACATCAGCTTTAGCTTTGCATGTCCTGCATGCACACAGAGCCCATCACTGCCTCATATTGCTATTTGTTTTTATGAAAGGTAACTGAATCACTAAAAGGATATTACAAATATTGGCTTCCAAAAAAAGGAAGCACAGGCGATAAAAAAACATCCCCACAAACACATCCAGATCTAACCCTTCATTTGTATGGCTTGGCAGACTTGCTTTTAAAGCAGTAGGCATTGAAAGAAAATCCTGGAGCCCTTGATCTAATGGAACTGGGATCTGAAAGTGAGAGATGCAGGATCATGCCCTTTTTGAGTTTCTAAAATACTCCTGCTTGACGTGAGAAAAGGACACAAACAAGAGGCCACACAACATGTCGCGAATTAGGAGGATGTTACTTCAGTCTCATGGCCTCCCTTCATAAGGCAGTGTTAAACAGTCCTTTTCTGTCCAGAAGAACTGGTAAAGTAGTTCTCTCTTAGCCTCCCCTTGCCTGTTCCTACTCTTCAGTTGTGACAGAAAGATGATTCAGAGGGCCATGTAGTGAACCATATCAGGGTTAAAAATGCCTTTTTTTGCTTGGAGTTTGGTTGCAGACAAACTGTTGTGTTAACTCAATTGAGAAGGTAGCCCAGAGATGGGACTCGGGGAGGAGAGGAAGACTTAAGCCACTATGGTAACCAAAAGCAAAGTATGTAACCCTGACATAACTAATGTTTCTCTCTTTTTCAGGCATTAAAATCTGTGCAGACTTCATCAACTGTCAAGTCACTGCCTTCTTTCCAGGTTCCACGTACTTTATTTCACTTGGTCGCAAACTACTGTGTATCAAGCCAGGTTTCGCATAGAAACTTAGGGCATAATTCAAAGGACATAGGGTGTATCCAACAAAGTAGGGAAGAGGAGAGGCAGAGCAATGATGTTTTCCTTATGGAAACAGAAAACTCAGATTATTGGTCGCAGAGCCAGGGCATTCCAGTAGGAACCCTTCTTCGAGACACCTGTGGAAAGAAAGAGCAAGAAAAGGCAAAGTGCCTGATGAATTTTTAGGAAGCTATCTGAAGACTAAGAGATCTTAGGGGATGAGTTGCAACATCTTTTTATCATTGACATAGGCATTTCCAGTTGCATTCAGATTTGGGATGCTGCGAGGACTGCATATATGAGGAATATGTGGAAATGGAATAAAAATAGATCCTTTTAACCTCTCACGGTATGCTCAAGCCTTGATTTTCATTGAGATTATACCTGGACTAGAAACTGTGCCCACAGCTAGTACAGTAGACCCAGTTCAACCTGCAGTCCAAGAAGGCTCTACAGCACATGAGGGAATTAAATACAGAGCAGAGGTCGGCTGCTTTGTTTGCTTACCCACTGTCCTCTGCTCTGTTTCAGCTGTTCCCACCTTGGAAGCCTGTTAACACTAACCTGAACTGCAAGGGAAAACATATTCTCTTGCTGTACGGTCATCTGTAGAAACAAAAGAGAAAAGGTGGTGAGCTGTAGAGTTGCATGGTAGGGTACTGCCAAGCTTCTTTCTCTTTAACACAACAATCCTGCTACCTTAATTTTTTTACTCCTCAGACTGTGAATGCAGGAACAGAAAAATGTCTGCAGAGGGTCAGACCAAGGGTCTGTCTTCCCAACATGTCTCCCATACAGCTGTAAAAAACCCTCTTATGCATTGTGATATCTTCTAATGCAAGGACATTTTTGTAAATAGAGAACTTTTCAGTAGTGTGTCCTGATAGCCTTGCTTTTTTACTGATAATTAGTATTTTCATATCATATAACAATTTTTAAACTGTATGTACTAAGTACAAAAAGTCTTGTACAGGATGGAATAGCAGAGAGAGCATATTAGGTGATAATATTTAGCTCTGTAAAGGCTGGATTAAGAAGTCTCCTCCTCTTCTTGACATGGTGTGGAAGGGGGAACAAGAATGGAATTCAGTATACACCATGTAGGCCTGTGGTGCTGCTTTCTAAATCTCCATTGGTAGTTTTCCCATTTCCCATTCATTTTTTAAAATAATTGTTAAGGTTCCATCTGCTGGTGTGGCTCATGCTGAGCACGGAATAATCAGAGAGACTCAAAATGACTCCAAGATCTCTCTTCTGTGAGCTGATAGTTCATTTAGAGCTTTAAAGGGTACGAAAATATTTTCCTATTATCTTCTGAAACATAGCAGCACCCAGTGGATGATAGGATTATTACACTATACATGAAAAGCATGGAACTAAATTCTGCCTTCTGGTGGATCAGAGTGGCAGTATGTAACACTGCTTTTAAATAAATGCCTAAGTATTTTCAAGAGAGCTAAGGAGCTGGAGAAGACATGGTGAATTGACAGAGAAGCTTTCTTTCCACAGAGACATAGCTTGAAGCTAGAGGAAGTAAAAAAACATAGTCATTTTGAACACATACACCCCACAACATAATCACAGTGCCAAGCAGTCTCATCTCAAGAATGGAAAAGCAAGTGATTCTGCTACTTGAATGTAGAAGTTTTGTACAGAGGAAACCCAAGCTTGGAGTTGCAAGAGGAAATGGAGTGGAATAAGGGAGATAACAGAATAAGGGGCATAGACAGAACTGTGTCTGAGTTGGGGGTATAATCGTTGCTCTTTGCCTACGTCAGTGAAATCTCACCTGGCTTATAGTAGTCATAGACGTGCATTGTTGCTGCTTTCAGGTTCTGGACTTCAACATCTTGTTCCACTGAGATGTTAAGCTTCAGAGAAGTCTCACCCAGCTGGAGAGAACATCAGAAGTGAGCAGAAGTGCTCTGACCATCTCAAAGTCACCTACATACCAATTTTATTCCCTCTGCATCACATATTTCTTTCTCTGCCTTTCTATGTTCTTCCACCCTCTTTGTTCTTTGACAAAATTTTAGCCTGCTTGACCAGCCTAGAGATTTATATTTCTGATCTCTGAGATTCCCAATGCAAAGTACTGCAGTTGCAGCTACTTGAATGGGCAACTCCCTGTGGTCTTCCTCTTACCTCTTCCAAGTAGATTGTGACTTTGTCTGGTTTTATCTCTGTCTTTTTCATCAGGGGTATCTTCTCCAGCTGTATAGGAAGACAAGAGATGAGCTTGGTTAGCATCAGCTCATTGACCTTCCTTGTTGTCTCACACCAGGTTTAGTGTTTGTCAGTGAACTACTGCTGACTAAAGCACTCGGCGAAGTCAGGGGAAGGCCTGTCTTCCCCAGCTATAATGACATAGAGATTGCTGGGAGTACACAAAGCCTTAGAAAATATTTTTTTCAGATTTGGAACAAGTGTCCTTGAGCTGCATTCCTACTTTCAGCACTTGTAGCAAGGGGAAAGATGGTTAGTAGGAGGCTATGATGGATCTTCCTGGCTATCTCCTGGAACACTGGAGCATGCCATTGAACAACTGTATTGGATTCACCACCGCTTTATGGAGTATCCCTGCAAATGGCACTGGCAACAGTGGAAGGTCTCAGCACACACCAGATGATTCTAACTAAGTGTTTTTCAGCTTCTCTTTAACCTGTTACTGCATATGTGATCCTCACTACTGAACATGAAGAACTTCACAATCAGTTCTGCAAGTGGAAAGTTGCCTTGTGAAATAGCCCACTATATCTGCACTTTCTTAGTTTAATTAATTTGTAGCAAGATAAGTAGCTACCATTCTCCAGCAGTTCTTAGATGTTTGGATATTTCTGGCTGAGCTACATCTGGAAAATAGGTTTTCCTATCTTCAGGGAAGGCCAGAGGAAAAAGTCTTACTGCCTCCACAGAGCTCTTCACAGCAAAGAACCCTGACAGCATCTCCACCTCCACCAGGGCCATGTTACTGGTCTCAAGGTCCCCTACGTAACTGAAAAAAGGGAGGAGAGAAACACATTGGATGTGGAAAGCATCACAGCACTTGTAGGAGATACTAATAAACACTTCCAAACTCTGGCCTGCTCTACAGCGATGTGAAAGCTCAGCAGCATTTCTAACTGATGGAAGAAAGGGACAAAAAATCGCCCCATCTACTTTCTCAATATGGAGACAGATTGTGCAGCAAATGTATTACGGTTAATCTTCATGCTGCCCTCTCCAACAGGTGGAGGTGATCTTTGATGTTACAGGTTGACAGTGGCAATGTTGGTATTGTTCTCTTTCAGGACAGTAGGGCATGGAGAATATGGACCAAGACACTCATCCTAGAAAGATGCAGGCAAGTGAAATATGGGTAAGGACTGGAGTTTCTGCTGTCTGATTCCAGCAGAGCTCCACACTGCAGGAGAATGCACCTCAGGGCTGGTTCAGCCCAGGCTGCCAAGTGACACCCAAGAGGGGAGCTCTGACTCTTGGGAATGCTGCCATCTCAGCTGCTGGTGCTCTGGGGGCTGCTGAGCTTCTCCATGCTGACCAAGATAGTTGCTGTGTCTCTGCATGCCACTGCCAGTGCATTCCCATGCTTCTACAGGCCTTAATTCTCAGTTCACAATCTCTTTGGGATCTGTGAAGAAGAGGGTATTCCCCTGCATCTTTATCTTCACAAACAGGAGATTTTTATGCAGTTCTGGTCATACTACTGGGGCTCCTACTTCTTCCCACTGAAAAAAGAGCCTCAAGGGACCTCCTACCTGACAGACACATGGAATCAAGCTGTTTCCTGACACCATCGCATACTTTTGGTACTGTTTCCACATCCAGGACAAAGACCTCTTCTGTTTTTGGTGGTGGGTATTATAATACAAAGCAGTCTGGTGGGGGAGAAAACATCTCTGTGAAGTGCCCAGAGGTTCCCTGTATGAGCTAAAGGACTACCTGTGCCTCCAGCTTTTAACAAATTGGTAACCAGCAGCTAACACAGTTGGCCCCAGGTGTGCTTTCTGTTCAGACGTGCTGTTTAGCACATAGCATCAGATACATCTGCCAAATGTAACCCTCAGCATGGAGACTCAGCTGTCCTAGGGCCTTAAGGGGACATTTTCCAAAGTGCTTGGTAAGTTAGAAGCATCAGACTGACTGGACATCAGTGAGGATGTGATGCAGTCATTTCTTCCATATGTACTATCTCAGATGCAGCTCTGAGAAAGTATTGCACTCACTGTGTGCAATACTGCTCCTTCCAATTTGCCTGCTGGCCACCCTGTGAAACCAGCTGGGCAGCTAGAGTGGCTGTGCAGTAGACTGCACTCTGCACTGATAGCTGGTCAGGCTGAAAAATCCTCTCTCCCTTTTTTCTTCTGTGTTATTTTTCAGTCCCCTATGTAGTTCACCATACTGCCAGATGAACAGAGGAACTTACTTAAGCCAAATCACATTATATTGTTATCAACTGTTTAACCATAGGCTTAGGTGCTTTGAAACCCCCACCTGGCATCCTAATTTAGCATAGAAGCCCATTTTTCTCCAAGTTAAACAGACAAAAGGAAGAACCAAGCTCAGCAGCACAATAATAAAAATGCACCCACCAAAGGGTCCTGAGCTGAGTAGAGCAGCAATGAGGAAGTAGTCAAAAGGTTTGAATTCTGCAAGTAAATGCCCTGACCAGCAACTGAATAGACATGGTGAAGCAAGTTTCCTCTGCAAGATCTGCTAGATAGATGTGCTATGTATGAATTGCTGAAGAATGACAGGAGCACCACAACTCAAGTGAGTACTTTGACCACACAAATTAAGCATGGATCACCTCTGCTGCTTTTGATTAGCAACTGTTTCCTGGGTCTGAGAAAACTAGAGACTTTCACAGCTTCAATAAATTACCATTTTCTGACACAAAAGCCAATCTGAGAATAGTTAAATTTCCCATACCACTGCAATTAAATCCTACAAATATCAGGCCTTAAACACAGTCATTATGACTAGAACCCAAAATCTTCTTAACAGCAACAACCTACCAGTTTCCTTCTGTAGCATACCCAGGAGCTGCTCTCTCATCTCCATGTCCTTGCTCAGTGTGAAGACATAAGCCATCAAGGCCTTGACATAAAGGCTGGTCTTATCAAGTGTTACATTCTTGAGGCAATGTACAGCATTATCCAGCACAGTGTGCTGAGAAAAGAGTCCAAACCCAGTGAATTTCCTCTGACCGCTTTTTGTTGTGAAAATCTATCCCCAACCCTCAAGCATCCCAGCTCAATCCTTGATGTATTTCAGTGCTAGCATCTCTCTCAGGGCTGTGGAATGTGAAGTAGAGTGGACAAAGCATCACACACTGTGGGTTGAAATCAAAGATGTGACCGGGACAGGGGATTGTTAATATACTGTTAATATACTGGAGAATCCAGCTGTAGGAAGTGTCTGGTAACATGCTGGCTCAGAACTGTCAGACCTGCATGCTGTGGGTCTTGGCTCCCAAGGGGATATGACGTTGTTTTCAGGACTGTACCAGTAAGACTGAAATATCAACCCATCACGGCTAGAACAGTCTACACTTGGCTTGAAGACCACTGCTTTTATTTCAGGTCTGATGGGGGTGGGGAGGCAGGTTGCATACCTGAAAGGTAGTCTTTTTTTTCTCCTTTAGGTATATTGGTCAGTGTAAGGAAAACTATTGCCTCTTTCTGCAAGCCCTGAGCCATTTTCAGGGAGTTGTTTCCCCTGAGATCAGTTGGCAGTGGCAGATGCTCTGCTTTGCTACAAATCAGGCCATTTATATTAAGAACTCCTTACCAAGTTAAAAATTTCCTGTTGAGCTTATTGTGTACAAAGGTGGAATATGACAGAACCTTTCACCAACTCAAGCTGAGTACTCCCTGAAACCACAGACCTGGGGAGGAATGAAGGGTAGAGCATGCTCCCAAGCCCTGCACGAGTGAGGTGTGACTTACATTATTCTCCAGATGCAGCTCCACCAGTGCAGCAGTGATATAGGCTGTTAATGAGATTGTATCGTCCACACCACCCTGCAAGTCACACGGACAAAAAACAGAAAGGGACAAAACCAACTATTGCTTGCCTGTCATTGTATAGCCACTGAAACTGCCTATGGATGGTATATCTGAGAGAGTACAGTATCATAGAATCATAGAATCGTTTAGGTTGGAAAAGACCTTTAAGATCATCCAGTCTAACCATTAGTCTACACTACCAAGGCCACACTAAACCAATCAAGGGTAGACTAGACTAAACCATGTCCCAGAGTGCCACGTCTACCCGTCTTTTGAACGCTTCCAGGGATGGTGACTCCACCACCTCTCTGGGCAGCCTCTTCCAATGCTTG